AAAGGTAGTTATTACCAAAGGTTGCAAATATCAATATGGTTATCACCAAAGGTTGCAATCATTAATATGGTTATTACCAAAGGTTGTAATCATCAATAGTTGCAAGCTTTTATTTATGTAGTTGTGATTGTTCACATAAACAATTGCAATGGTTCATTGCACCCTTTCACTTAAACCCTTTCACTTAAATATATAACAAAATTTAGAATGCAGAATCTTTCTATAGCTCAAAACTGATAAACTGTTTTAATCCAACCTATTGATCAATAGTAATGCCATAAAACACACGTAAATTATGGATTGCATAGATTGCTGAGTTGTTTCAACTTTGAGAACAAAAAGTCTCAATGTGAAAGAAAGTGAAGCAGCATAGATAAGGAGTGGATGTCTGGTTGCTTGGACCAATGAAGTTTCCATTAGACATTGATAACGAGTTTCCAAGTTCAGATTACTCATTTTTAAGCATATGATGTTTCGTATAACCCCTTGTAAGACTAAATAAAGAACTGACTAAAAAGCACAAGAAGACATTAAAATGAAAAACACAGCTCTGGCCCTCTCTCGTTTTATGAGAATAAATAGTAAAACAAGGCCAACAAGCACCTCACAGTAGCATAGAAATCAAAAAGACCATAGCAAATAACATAGGGAAGAACAAAAGCATTAACGCAGCTTTATATATTTTCCATAAGCCATATAATAAAACGTACAACCTTTCAATCTTTCAATCAATCAAATTTAAAGCAAAACTAACATGATTAGCAAAAAAAAAAAAAAAAAAATTAAATAAAATCAAAAGCTTCAATCTTTCAATCAATCACGACAAGATCTTTATACTCCGGTCCGGATATAACAGCGTGCATGATCTTCATGGGATCAATCTGTCCATCATTATCCAGAAACATTTTGATCAAATTCTTGGAAAACCCACTCATCAACGCCACACCTTTCTCGCTCTTGGTCACCGGCGTCGATTTCGAGTCCCTCAGATTCCAAAACACTATCTCCGGCACAACTCCTCCGTATCCTTTCTCTTTGTACTTCCTCGTGATCACCTGATAGTTTGTTTCCCAGCTACTCGTTTCCCTTCTGTTATAACGAGATGGTGACGACGAGGCTTCGTCAAACTCCATGTCACTAAACAAACACCCTCTTGATCATCTCCTCGGGCTTCAGCTTCCCTTCAACCGCCACTTTCAATATCAGATCAAACACTTTCTGAAAGTCAGTGTTGCCTCCCCAATCCATATCCCTCACGAACTCTGTCTTTGATCTCAGGTCGTCTCCCTCCACCAAATGCAACTCTGGAGTCTCGCTGAAAGTTATCAGCTTTCCTCTCCATGGCTCCTCCGATAGCTCAGAGACGAGTAGACCCAGCGCGACGGATACTTCCATGGGAGTACCTTCCATAGATCCCGAAACGTCAGAGATAGCGATACAGTTGGTCAACGAACCTTTCGTCTTCATATCATCCACCATTCGTTTCCACTGCAGCTCAGCGACTTGTCCACCGTCTCCTCCGTTTAAGTCACCGATTATCTCATGTGGCAACACAGCAACTGAGGAGCCATGGTTATGGTTAATTTGTTTTTAGGGGAAGCGAAGATTTTATTGGTAAAGCTTTATTGGAAGCCAAGAGATGAAGAAGGATGTTGTTTTGGCCTTGTTTATATATTTTGAATAAAAAACCTAATCTATTGGCTTGGGGATCACGTTTTATGAAGTCGGCGATACGTAAAGTTGTACTGTAATTTGCGAAGTCGGTGGGCCAAAAAGCAGTTTTATGTGGCTAAGGGAATTTTTATTTGTTGTATGTTATTATTTTATTTTCAATTTTTTTTTTTTGTAAAGTATTGTTTGGTGATTTATTATTCACTGTTTACTGTTTGAATCTTTTTTTGTAATTATTCTAAATTTGATCTTATTTACTTAAAACTAGGTGACCGGCCCGCACCCTGTGCAGGTATATACAGATTCAAATTATGGACTTAATAATACAATATTTTAGAAGTAATAGATTTTATATCATAAGACCACCGTCTTTAAGGTAAAGCATCAGACACAGAAAAATGCTGGTACACAATATTTTACATGGAGGAGATAGAACAAAGTAACTTCAGTATCAATATGTAGTTATTGTGTGTATTTATAATTGCAACATCACAAAAAAATTTGTGTGTTGAAGGTTAAATTTTATTTTCCAAATCTGAAATTAATAGTATGTAGTTTTTTATAAGTAACATATTTTCTATTATCACTAATTAGAATTGTATTGTATATGTGTTGTAATTCTTTATTTTAGGTGAAAATATTTTTATGCATAAATACATATTCTCTATTATGCTAAAGTTATTTTATAAACAATTTTTGTTGTTAACATACATTTGTACTAAGCTCTAAATAAAAAATTTTGTGTTTCATTATGATATTAAGATATTTTAGGAATGTCTAAACATAGATTTAAAAAGTAAAAATTAATAATCATATGTTTAATCATGTTTGTTAATACAAACACAATATTTATAATGGGCCCGAATTGCACATAGAAATAAGAACTTGAAATACAAAAGATACTAATCCCGGCCCGAATGGCCCAAAGTAAAAACATCTGAACTGATGACAAAATTGTGTGGTCGATGACCAATCACTTTTAAAAAAAAAACAGAAAAGGAAAGAACAAAATTTTATGTCTCGATGTTTCTTTATCGAAAGACGATTTCCATGGCCAAACTTTAATCGAAGCTAGAGCACTCATGATACGAACGGCCGCGGCTTACTTGTGGTGGTAAAGATGGAAATGACTGTTTGAAGAGGTGCAAATCGAGGCAGCAAATCAAAGTACTTCACATTTTCCAATCTATTTAGGTGATTTTCTCTATTTTTTCTTTTAGCAGATATAAAAATCTAAAAAGAAAATCTTACTTGTTTTTTTTTAAACTTTTTATGCATGTTGGATCTGAAGGCATCCGTGAAAAACACGATGAGTTTGAGATGGTTGAAGAACTTCACCTTTTCAGGTCTCTTTGACAAATTCCTAAGAAGATTTGAAAAACCACAAAAAGATAAATCTGATTTCGCATCTTTCTTTTTGATCCATAGTTAATAGTTAATAAAAATCTAATTGTTGTAAAATTGATTAAAAAAAAATCTGAATAACAAAAGCCACATAACAGTGGCAAGAAAGCCTAAGATTCTTTTGACATTTCTATTTACTGTTAAAGTTATTAATTACAGCTCTAGTATCTGTGTTTAAGTGTCTTAAAAATGGTGATTTTTTTTTTCCTTTCAGGAATAATTTACCCTCAGAGAAAATATTAATATTCAAAATACGAAGATTATGGATTTCATTATTCTATAAAGAGAACATGAATTTAAAATAAAAGATAAGTTATTTCCAGATACATTGTCTTCTTTCACGTTATTATAAATCCTAATTTCCATATAAATACAACATGATTAGTTTATTAATATGTGTATAAACAACATAATGATATCATGTTCAAGAAAATACCTATATAGACCGAAGATAAAATCTTAAAGATGAATAAAACATCACATTTGTTGAAGACATCAGTCTCTGAAATTGCACGATTAATCAAGAGCTGTGATGCCTCAAATGCATTGGTGATTTGAAGTTCACCTGCAGCGAATATATAGATAAGTATATTATAATACAATTAATATCCACTTGAAAATAATATTATCTATTAATTTTTTTTTAATTTGTTTTTAGGGGAAGCGAAGATTTTATTGGTAAAGCTTTATTGGAAGCCAAGAGATGAAGAAGGATGTTGTTTTGGCCTTGTTTATATATTTTGAATAAAAAACCTAATCTATTGGCTTGGGATCACGTTTTATGAAGTCGGCGATGCGTAAAGTTGTACTGTAATTTGCGAAGTCGGTGGGCCAAAAAGCAGTTTTATGTGGCTAAGGGAATTTTTATTTGTTGTATGTTATTATTTTATTTTCAATTTTTTTTTTGTAAAGTATTGTTTGGTTATTTATTATTCACTGTTTACTGTTTGAATCTTTTTTTTTGTAATTATTCTAAATTTGATCTTATTTACTTAAAACTAGGTGGACGCCTGCACGCCTGTGCGGACATTAATATAATATATACATTGCATGAATAAAAAGTAATATAAATGTATAAATATATTGTAATTTTCTTTCTCTTTTACATAGATTCTCTGTTTTTAATATATTTTTCTATTTTACTCATTTCGTTTCTCCTTGTATTTTTTCACACATTCGTTTTGTTTTTTATGTATCTCTCTTTGCATTATTTTTGTATGTCTTTGTACACCTCTCTCGCTCTCTTTTTCTTTCTCTTTCTCTCTTAGTTGATCAAATAATCTCAAAATCTCTTAAACTTACATTCACTCTCTCACAATCATCTATATTCATTCTCTTACCCTCGTCATTAATATGATCCTCAATATTTCATTTTAAAACTCTTTTTATCTCTTTTTAGTTGCCAAATTTTCACCAGATTTTGTTAAATTTTCTAAACACTTTGACATAGTATTAATAAATGATTTCAGAATCTATCTCACTTATATTCAGTCTCTCACTTATATTCTTTTTCATCTTCATTATGATCATAACCGACTATCTAATATTTATCATCACCATATCTCCCTCTCTTTCTCCTTTTCTTACATATTTTTTATTTAGAATTTAATATAAAATCACAATTGACTAACTAAATAAATTCATTGTCAAATTCTCTCCAATCTTCACACTATCTTATCAAACATTGATTCCTTTGACCAAGATTTTCATTGAAAAAATAAATATTTTATTATTAATTTTGTTTTTCTTTAATTACTTCATTACATACATATTTTAAGTAAATCTAAATAACTGTATTTCAAAAAAGTAGATTTGATTAAATAATTATATAACATAAAATATCTTAATTCTTAAATGATGTGATGTCATTATTTTAGACATAGATTAATATAAACATGAGATTCAACAGTTTTACTATATCAAAATAACATGTTTCTAGTTGTATAAATTTTGTTATAACTTGTTATCATATATTTTTAAAGTTTATTACACCGGAAAAAAATTATCATTATTTTAAAATAATTTATTTCAAAATTAATTTGCGTTATATTTTGCATCTTCAACATTAACAATTTTATAACTTATCATTTATATTTATCTTCCTTGCTCAATTTTTCCTTATATGTTGTATAAACACCTAAAAATAATTAGTTTACAATTATATTAATACCTAAAAAATATTTTGGTATACAAATAAAAAAATATGTATGTACAAATACAAAATAACGAAGAATACAATAAAATGTTTTATTATTATTCACTCATGATTTTATTTATGTCTCTTTTCTTTTTTTTTTCTTATTAAAAATAAACATGCCAATTTTATTATACTTAAAGCTATATGAATTATATGAATAAAATATTAACTCTAATCTTGTATTAATATAATGTTTTGATTTTTTTGTAATTTTCTATTATAATAAAATTTTTATTTATTCATATTTTTTTAAAATGGCATACCATATAATTTTCTGTTTTAAATATAAAATACTTAAATAATTTTTGAAAATGATAACTCAACTATACTATCAACATTTATCTCTAGAAAATGATAGATTTTTTTTTAAAAAAATTACATTTGACTGTTTTTCATTCATTGAACATATTTTAAGAATACATATATATAGTGAGTGAGTATTAAAAATATTATTAGTTTTCTGTAATGTATGATTTTTTATCCACTATTAATAGAAAATTTTTTAAAATCGTTTATATACTTATTTCTATAATATAATATGTATTTATATGTATATTCTAAATTTTTATAATGGAATATGTGATATTTAATTGTTTCTATAAACAAATTCTATTAATCCTATGTATTTAAGATGATTAATTGTTTGTTTGGTAATATACATTTGATTAGGTAATTCTAGGATTAGTTTCCTTTTAAAAAACTTTAATTAAATAAATAAAAATTCAAATGCCAACAACCAATCAAATTAAGAGAATTAATTCTACATTGCACCTATGAATGACACGTAAGCAAAATTCATTAAAGTGACTTCTCTTTTAATATATAGAATGAAAATTTAGTGTGTATATCTTTTTTTCCTTAGATTTGATGGAACGTAAAGGGAAACAATATGATAATAGATTTTTCACTTTTCCAAACTTATAGACTTCTTTATTTATTTTGAATATGTATAAGTATTCTGTAACTTTTACTTAACCATTAAATCTTTATTAAACTTTTCATTAAACACAGAAAAAAACTTTTTATTAAACTCAAGTTATATTACATAACATAATTAAATTTTAATTAGTCTATTTTTATATCTTATTAGTTCTTGGTCTTTAAATTATTTTCAGTATGTAATAATTGTTAATTATTTTTATATCATTTTGTATTCTAGGTTAACGTTAAATTTGGTAGTAAAAGAGGAACAAAAAATATGTGAGATTCATTATTTTTATTTTTGTTGGTATAAATCTAATGAAATGTATAAAGATTAATAGCGTAAATTGAATTATCCTCTTTCTAATGAATTTTATTTATTATAATTATATTATATATTTTCACTAAATGATTATTGGTTTATTATAATAATTATAATAATTAGAAATTTATTTATTATAATTATAAATTGATTTGTTTTAATTATATTATATATTTTCACTAAATGATTATTTTCTTAACAAAATAATTAATGTCAATGTTTTAGTTTCATTAAAAATAAAAGATTAAATATAGTGGTTTATAAGTTATTAAATTGTTTGAAACTTTTGGTGTCTATATTTAGTGTTTATTTCATGTTTGTTTGGGACATGTTATACTGATGTGATGTGGAGGGGGGATGTACGTGTCAAAATATAAAGTAAATGATGAACTAAAGAATGTAAATAAATAGTAGGGACCAAAATGAAAAAAAGAACCAGACAGAACTCTACCGTGTCTGCAAAACCAAAACTTAGAAAATTGTCCACGACGTTTCCTGGCGCAAGCTAAGAAACAGAGATTAGAGATGCGGAGGATGGAATTCTCAAGAGAGTACTCAAAAAACCTAGGAGCCAATCTCACACTTTCCTCGCATCTCTCTCCTTCTCTACAGACGGTGGTTATGGCTGTGGTGGTGAGTCTCAGCAGAAAAATAGCTCAAGGGTCAAGATCTTCGATCGATATCTCAAGCGCGTACATGTGTGGTGCTCACTCAAATTCATCTTAACATTTTAATTAGCCAAAGATTTTTTTTTCTTATTGGTTACTATTTTGTGTGTGTTTGGGTTTGACTCAGCGTGACCGAGCGGCGTGGCTGTCTCGCAATAAAAACGACACCTTTGTCGACGCTGTTGCTGAGAATCTTCTTGACCGTTTAGAGGTACACTACTCTTTTGTCTTTAATCGTATTAAAGACAAATTCGAATTAGCTATTAGCAAATTAAGTAGTTATGTTTTTTTTTCTTTGGCTATTTTATAAGGATTGTAAGAAGAGTTTTCTCTCTGCATTTTGTTTGGGAGGTTCTCTTGGTGCTGTTCAGCGTTTACTACGTGGTCACGGTTAGTTCTAGACTGTCCTGATTTTTTACATATATTTTTTGAATGTTGTTGTTGATGATGTTGTTTTTCGGATTCGTTGCACAGGTGGGATTGAATAGCTTATCATGATGGATACCTCACATGACATGATTAAATCATGCAGTGATGCATAGATGCTCAAGAAGATTCTTTAGATAATCCATCGAGACATCTTACTTGGTTGGTGATGAAGAGTTTCTCCCTATCAAAGAGAGGTAACAACAACACTATACTATAACCTCTCCTTTTTTATGTGTATGTTTAAACAACTATTGATATTTGTAAAATGTTGTCTTTAAAGTTTCGTTGATTTGATCATAAGTTCGTTGGGGCTTCACTGGACAAACGATCTTCCAGGATCATACAGGTTTTCCCTTTTTGTTGCTATTGCCACTGTATGTAGTGATTTGGTTTGTCTTCTTGAGTGAGATTAGTAATGTGTTGGTTTCGCATTAACTGCAGTGCAAACTGGCGATGAAGCCTGATGGCTTATTTTTAGTAGTGATTCTTGGTGGAGAAACCTTAAAGTTCGTCTTGTCTTCCTCTCTCATATGTTTTTCTTATTATACCTTTTTGTAAAATGAATCTGTATTTTTATCAGGGAGCTGAGGATAGCATGCACTTTGGCTCACATGGAGCGTGAAGGAGGCATTAGTCCCCGGCTATCCCCTATCCCCTTTGGCACAGGTGTGTGTGTGAGTGAATCTTGCAGCTTAAATGTAAAAATGCGACGAATGCAATTTGTAGACGACAAAACCATATAGTTGATTTAGTGTCGTACTGAATCAAGAAAGAACTGACTTAAAAATGTGTTGCATCTTTGATTTTATATCTTTCGGTATCATCTCTTCATGTGACGAAGAAGACGAAACATCGTCTGAGAAAATCGCCATAGCCATAAGTTTCTAAGACGCGAGGAAGAAAACTCATGAAACCCTAGCGGAGAACGGATCATTTCATCTTTACGGATTGGACTCATGGGCTGGGCTGGAAGTGGATATAAAAAAGCTGGTTATATTTGGAGCCCAAACCAATGCACATATCACGTCTTGAAGAAAGCCACGTGTCACGTTCCGAGATTCTTATTTAATGACGTGGCAAGCTAAGAGTAGGGAAAAACCTACTTTATATATATATATACAATGCTGTTTTGCACATTCCAAAATAAGTGTTACTTTTAATACTTAATTCTTAAATATAAATCGAATATTTATTATAATTCCAATAAAACATATAATAAAGCTTCAAATAAATGATTTATCATATAAATTTAAATTGGAAATAATAAATATATCACGTATTAAAATTTTATTAATGATCACATATTATGAATATGACTTTTTAAAAATACGAAATAAATATAGTTTTATTTTAAATTGTCAACCATAAATTAATTTGGAATTAAAAACACAGGTCAAAATATTTTTATTTTTAAACTGAGATGTATATACAAAATAAATTCAATGTTAAACACACGGATCACTGTTCACCATGATAATCCATTTAAAAATAATACTCAATTAACTTGTTCACGGATCATCTTTGCTATTTTTGTATTAGATTATAAAAAATAAATTTGTGCTTTGAAATCGTGAGTGGAAATCTAGTCTAATCTATTAAAACTGAAGTTTAAATTAGTCCTTATTTTTCCTAAAATATTATAAATCTATGCCACTGACCTAAACCATATTCAACACTTAAATCAAACCAACGAAATTGAATTTTGATAGCGAATCAAACATTGCGTCTATACCTCCCAAAATAAACTACCGGCTTTGCAAACTCTAACTAACCCCATCAATTAAATAGTTCGTTCAATTTAATTACTTTATCAAATGCTGACAAAAGAACAATAGTTTTATCAAACAAATTTAGGATGTTAAAGATGACTATGACATTAATATCTATTATATAAAGAAGAGTATCCTTCCTTCTAAAGCCCTCCACGTCGGATGCCAGCACATAAAGTCCACGTAGACAAGTGAACACGTGTCAATGCTGTATTGGTTCCGCTTTCCTTCTCTGTTTTATTTCATCTGATTGTGCGGCTTCAACGATGAATGAAAGTCTCTCTCTCCTCTTCATGCGGCGACAACCCTTGCGATTCTTCTCATCAGTCTCAATCTTAAACCCGTCTCTAGCACTTTGTTCCATTTAGACCTAAAGGCGAACCAAATCTCCGGCCAACTCCCACCTTCTTATCCCATCACTCTTCGGTATTTATCTCTCGCTGGAAACTCAATCTCCGGCACAATCATCCCCTTACAGCCACTCACAGACCTAACATACATCGATCATGAACCAGTTCACTGGAGCGATCCCACAATCACTCTTTCGTTCCACAACGTCATATGCTCCTAAAACGAAACAACTTCGCATCCATCAACGCCACGTCATCGGTGTTACCTCAAGGCCATGTTGTTGATTTGAGCCATAACTCTATCTCCGGTGAGTTACCTCCTTCTTCTCTATCCCTGTTCTCATTTCAATATTTTCCGGAATTGGCGACAGTAGACTTATAGGGTTTTTCCTGTTCTTCGAGATCTGAATATATAAACCAACAATGGAGTTTTCGGAGGGCTATGTGAGACGAAACTTCATGAAGAATCTCTAGATCAAGCTGTCAGACGTGTCGTTTTGTTTGAGTTTCTTCTCAAACGTCATCCTCCCAAGTCTTACTAACACTTGAAATGCTTTTCTTTTTCTAGAATGACCAATTTATATATCCTCCTTGATGTTGTTAAGAATCAATCTGGATATGGAAACTCTCAAGCGTCTCCTCACAGGTTTTTTTTGCCTCTTCAATTTTTTTCTAATCCTCACTTTGATCTCTGTTTCACTTTACTTTTTTTGGTTTTGTGTGTTATCAGAGAGATAAAGGTTAGCTTTACAGGATAATGGTGAGGAAAAGCGCCATTGAAGTCTCTGATACAATTTCAGAGATGGAGAATTAACAGCTGTTGATGAAATAAAGATGCCCTGAAAAATAAAAATACAATTTCATAGATGGAGAGTTAATAGCTGTTGTTGAAACGAATATGCTATGAAAAATAAAAATAAAATATACAGGTGCCAACACATCACTCCAATGTTTTGTTGGAGTAAGCTTGAAGAGACAAGAGTAATAACGTGGGAAGCAAGCTAAAGATAAGTACTAATCTAGTTGAGTTTAAAGATGAAGATAATGATGGTTGTTAGGAGTTATCTACAAGTATTGTTAGTCTTTATCTTATAGGTTTTGTGTCTATCTTTAGTTTCATATATATACATCCATCGAGTTGTGATGAGATGTNCAAGTATTGTTAGTCTTTATCTTATAGGTTTTGTGTCTATCTTTAGTTTCATATATATACATCCATCGAGTTGTGATGAGATGTATGAGTTTGAGATTATAAGGTTTTGAGTGAGTTTTGCCTTTAAGAGCTATATAAAAGAGAGTTATTCTTATTGTTCTTTTGCACACACAAACTCAAGAAGGCATTAGTTTCAACACGTGGTATCAGAGCATCAAAGTTGAAAACTATGTCAGATCTGACGGTTGCTACGGTGAAGGAGAAAGATACAGGATCAACATCAATTAAGTGCCCTTTGTTGAACAATACTAACTATACGGTGTGGGCTATCAAGATGAAGATTTTGTTGAAGGTACATGACGTGTGGGATCTCATTGAAGATGAAAAAGGTGAAGTTAAGAAGAACAACATGGCCATGGCACTCTTGATTCAGTCCGTTCCAGAAGCCTTGGTTCTGCAGATTGGAGGTCTCGGTACAGCTAAGAAGATGTGGGATGCGATTGAGACCAGACATGTAGGAGCTGAAAGAGTCAAGGAAGCCCGTTTGCAGACTCTTATGTCTGATTTCGATCGACTCAGCATGAAGGACAATGAAACCATTGACGAGTTCTCAGGAAGGATGTCAGAGATTGCTTCAAAGTCTGCTGCTCTTGGAGAAGAAATAGAAGAAACAAAACTTGTCAAGAAGTTTCTAAAGAGTCTCCCTCGGAAGAAATACATAACTATTGTGGCTGCACTTGAACAAGTTTTGGATCTCAAGACTACTGGATTTGAGGACATTATCGGACGTCTTAAAGCTTATGAGGAACGAGTTAGTGAGGAAGAAAGCGTATCTGAAGAACAAAACAAGTTGATGTACGCTAACTCAGATCAAAGCATGAATCGAGGTTACACAGGAGAGAACAGAGGTCGTGGTCGTGGAGGAAGAAATTTCAACAGAAACAGAGGTCGTGGTCGCTACACCTATGGGAGAGAAGAGAGAGATGCTTCTAAGATCATGTGTTATCGTTGTGACAAACTTGGACATTACGCTAGCGACTGTCCTGATCGGTTACTGAAGTTACAAGAAACTACAGAAGCTAAAAGAGAAGAGGACCCACAAGAGGCAGAAGAGTTGATGTTACATGAGGTTGTGTTTCTTAACGAAGAGAAGGTCAAAATCAACAACTTTGAGACGAAACATGACAGTAAGAATGTGTGGTATCTTGACAACGGTGCAAGCAACCACATGACTGGAGAACGTTCCTACTTCACCACACTTGATGAGACTATCACAGGAAAGGTGAAATTTGGTGACGACTCACGCATCAACATTGAAGGAAAGGGGTCCGTTGATTTCAGTTTTGAGGATGGAACAAAGAAGAGTATGTCGAATGTGTACTATATACCAGCACTCAAGAGTAATATTATAAGCCTAGGCCAGGCCACAGAGTCAGGATGCGAGGTTAGAATGAAAGAGAATACTTTGCTCATGTACGATCGAGATGGAAAGCTCTTGATTAAGACTGGTAGAGGAAAGAACCGTCTGTATAAGGTGACATTGGAGGCTGTGAACGCGAAGTGCCTACAAGTAATCACATCAGATGAGTCCAGCAAGTGGCATGCGAGATTGGGCCATATCAACTTTGCAAACATAAAACTAATGGTGGATAAGGAGCTTGTTACAGGAATACCGAAGATTGCTATCACAAAGCACACATGTGTCTCATGCTTACTTGGAAAACACGCAAGGCAGTCATTCCCTCAAGCAACCAAATACAGAGCGTCTCAGAGGCTTGAGCTACTACATGGAGATCTCTGTGGTCCAATTAACCCTCCAACGGCGAGTAGAAACAGATATGTGTTTGTTATAATTGATGATCACACAAGGTACATGTGGACTCTGTTGCTAAAAGAAAAGAGTGATGCCTTTGAAAGATTTAAGAAATTCAAGACATCAATAGAACAAGAGACTGGTGAGAAAATCAAGACTCTCAGAACGGATAGAGGAGGAGAGTTTACATCTCAAGAGTTCAACAGTTTTTGCGAAGAGAATGGAATTTCAAGACACTTAACTGCACCATATTCGCCTCAACAAAATGGTGTAGTTGAGAGACGTAACAGAACAATTCTTGAGATGACAAGGAGCACTTTGAAACACATGAGCGTTCCTAACTACATGTGGGGAGAGGCTGTTAGACATGTCACCTATCTCATCAACCGGTCTGCAACAAGAACACTGTCTCTAAAGACACCATATGAGATGTTTAAAGGAGGAAAGCCAAATATCTCTCATCTGAAGGTATTTGGATGTATTGGGTACGCTAGAACAGAGACTCCTCATAGGAAGAAACTAGATGACAGATCACGTGCTCTAGTGCATTTGGGAACAGAACCAGGAACCAAGGCCTACCGTCTTTATGATCCATCAAGCAGAAAGATTGTTGTGAGCCGGGATGTAGTGTTTATGGAAGAAGAAAGGTGGAACTGGAAGGATTCTATGGAGATGAATGATGCAGGATCATTGAGTATTAAGCTTGGAGAGTTCGGTAACAGAGGACTCAGAGAAGCAGATTGTGATAGAGAAGTCAATGTCACGAATGTTGTTGGGAAGGAACTAGTCAGTGGAGAAGTGAGTAGAGAAAGCAGCAATGTTGAGAGTGATGTAGTAGAGATTTCAAGTGAGGAGGAAGAAACGCAGGAACTTGAACCAGTTTTAAGGAGATCCACAAGGATCAAGGCAACTCCCAACTATTTAACAGACTATATTCTGTTGTCTGAGACAGAGTGTGAGTGGCTCTTGATGTCACTTAATGAAGAACCGTGGGACTTCTCAGAAGCTAAATGTATGACAGTGTGGATAAAGGCGTGTGAAGAGGAGATTAATTCTATTGAGAAGAACCACACTTGGAGCTTAGTTGATATGCCTATAGGAGCAAAAGCAATTGGCTTAACATGGGTATTTAAGATAAAACGCAATCCTGATGGCAGTGTCAACAAATACAAAGCGAGGTTGGTAGCAAAGGGCTATGTGCAAAGGCATGGTATAGACTATGATGAAGTGTTTGCACCAGTAGCAAGATTAGAGACAATTCGACTCATTATTGCACTAGCTGCAACACATGGTTGGGAAGTGCATCACCTTGACGTCAAGACCGCGTTTCTTCATGGAGATCTTAAGGAAGAGGTTTACGTTAAATAACCTGAGGGCTTTGAGATCAAAGGCAGTGAAGAGAAGGTGTATAAGCTCTCCAAGGCTCTCTACGGTCTTAAACAAGCACCGAGGGCTTGGAACTACAAGCTAAACAAAATTCTGCGTGAACTTAACTTCACACGATGTTCAAAAGAGTCTTCAGTGTATCAGAGAAGGAAGAAAGAAGATATTCTGGTTGTGGCTGTTTATGTCGATGATTTACTCATTACTGGCTCAAGTTTGGTCATGATCCGTGAGTTTAAGACAGAGATGGCTGATAAGTTTAAAATGAGTGATTTGGGGAAGCTTACATACTACTTGGGAATTGAAGTATTGCAACATGATGATGGTATTACTCTGAAACAAGAAAGGTATGCTTCAAAGATATTAGAAGATTCGGGTATGAGCAACTGCAACTCCATTCATGTTCCAATGGACTTGAACGTAAAGATGTCAAAAGCTGAAGAAGAGAAAGGAGTTGATGAGAAAAGTTATAGAAGAAGTATAGGGTGTCTACGATACTTGCTACACACACGCCCTGATCTCTCGTATAGTGTGGGAGTTCTTAGCAGGTACATGATTGAACCTAAGGAATCACATAATGCAGCACTGAAGCAGGTTCTGAGATATCTACAAGGGTCTATTTCCTATGGACTCAACTACAAGCGTGGGAACAAGACAAGACTGTTGGGTTATAGTGATAGCTCACTTAACGTGGATGTTGATGATGGGAAAAGTATCACTGGACACATTTTCTATGTGAACGAAAGTCCCATCACCTGGTGTTCTCAGAAGCAGGATAGTGTGGCGTTGTCCTCGTGTGAGGCTGAGTTCATGGCGGCTACTGAAGCAGCCAAACAGGCGATATGGCTTCAAGAACTCCTGAGTGAGATCACCGGTGAGGAATGTGAGAAAGTAACCATAAGGGTAGACAACAAGTCTGCAATCTCGCTTACCAAGAACCCTGTCTTCCATGGGAGATCTAAACATATACACATGAGGTATCATTTCATAAGAGAGAGTGTGGAAAGAGGGCAGGTTGAAGTCGAACATGTGGCTGGAAGATTGCAGAAGGCTGATATCTTGACGAAAGGACTCGGGAGACTTAAGTTCCAAGCAATGAGGGAGCTTATTGGAATGGTGGATGTGTCAATGATCAACTTCAAGCTTAAGGGGGACATTGTTGGAGTAAGCTTGAAGAGACAAGAGTAATAACGTGGGAAGCAAGCTAAAGATAAGTACTAATCTAGTTGAGTTTAAAGATGAAGATAATGATGGTTGTTAGGAGTTATCTACAAGTATTGTTAGTCTTTATCTTATAGGTTTTGTGTCTATCTTTAGTTTCATATATATACATCCATCGAGTTGTGATGAGATGTNCAAGTATTGTTAGTCTTTATCTTATAGGTTTTGTGTCTATCTTTAGTTTCATATATATACATCCATCGAGTTGTGATGAGATGTATGAGTTTGAGATTATAAGGTTTTGAGTGAGTTTTGCCTTTAAGAGCTATATAAAAGAGAGTTATTCTTATTGTTCTTTTGCACACACAAACTCAAGAAGGCATTAGTTTCAACATGTTTTAGGTAACTACCTTTAGATCAGACTCTGTGTTCTTAAATGAATATCTTTTAAGTGTTTTTCTTTCCTTCTGCAGGAAAAAAAAGAGGCGTACAAGCAGCAGTATGTGTAACACGCTTTTCATAGCAATATTGATATTGTCTCTTCGATGCACTGAATAGATGTGAGAGGGAGGCGGTGGAATTGCTACTGTAAAAAGGTATCCTTTCCTGCTTAATAATCATCTCATTTTTTCGTTCAGTATAATGGCTACTCCAATCATTCTTTCTGATTGGAAGACCGGCTGATGCTCCTCTATCATTCAAGTGAGGTTGCTCCGTTTTTAGGATGGCAGGAACGCCCAACGCGGTGGGAAACTATGGGAGTCGATATGTTGCTGTTTGATTTCCAGGTTTGTTCTGTTCCTCCGCTTGAATTCATAACTGGATTTTTTTTTATTATAATCGAATTTTTTCTGTTGTCTTCAACCGTTATTACTAACAAGACTAACAATTCCTGTTTAGATCTTTAGAACTGGTTAAGTGATTGCTTCCTAATATTTTCCTGATTATACATGGATGGTCCGTCGTGTTGAATCTTAGTTAACAAGTTTTTCTGATTATTTTTTGTTTGCCGTATGTGCAGGCGACCATGATGCCGGCGACGGTGAATGTAAACCTGCTTGCAACTCACAGGCCTAATACATCTCCAGATTTAACCTACGCAGACTGCTACAACACGTCGTGGAGTCTCAGGTTACATGTATGGCAACGAGTAGCTAGGGATTCACGAATGATCATAGTATGTGGCAACCTATGTTGTTTTTCATTTTCAGGTCTCTCTATTTGTTGTATTATTGCGAATCTGATTTGAGTTTTGCATACTCACTCTTGGGTTGGATCTTCTGCTCATAGGTCCATCCATTTCTCCGGAAAATTGAATAAAGCCATGAGTTGCGCAAGAGGAAAAAGAAAGTGATCAAAAGCTCCAATGGAGAGGTGATTCTGGCATTTAAAGGTAACACCCTCGACCCTCCCCCCCCCCCTCCCCCTTTTGTAAAGATTATACATTGATTTTGCTCAAGTTCATGTTTTTATATGTTTGGTTTGCGATTGTGATTTCATTGGGTTGGATATGATTTAGTTCAGCTGTTTCACGACTGGTGAAATAAAATGGATTTTCATACCCGACATTCAGTATTTTTGGTTAATTAATAGAAGAAAACAGAAAATGAACTGCTTTTGTATTGACAACGTTTGTAGTTTTTTGGGTTTTGCGAGTTTACACTGATCTTCATTGGTAGTGGTGTACAATAGGTACATGCATCTGCGTATTTGCAGAGTGATATAGCCACTACAGAGAGATTCATTGTCAGATGGTGGATGCACTAAAAGAAAATAAAAACAAGAAGAGGGAGGAGAAGAAAACATGTGCAATATTATATTCTCATACTGCTTTTTTATTTGTTTATTTAGTGATTAATGGTGGAAACTATTTTTTCTATCATTGCAGTTTTAAAAAATCTGCTAGCCATTTTCTATCATTGAGAGTTGGTAAATTTATATATTAACAATTACTGGCAGGAGTTGTTCAAAATAATAATTTTGGTCACGTATACCCTGTGTAGAGTCATAATTTTGGTCATGTACACTCTTTTTTGTTCGAGGTACGATATTTTCTCTTAGAGGAGCTCATCTCATATACTGTGTCACTTTCTGGGGTCTCTGCAAATAATTCGGTCTGTGTCCGTTTTAGTGCATAATGTTTTTTCATAAAGGGCTTTTAGTTCACCAAAGCTCATGGAAGAAACTTTAGATGTTGCTGAATTTTGATTCATATAATTCACCGGTGTGTCTAGACAGAAACAGATTTGTGTTGCTTTATGTTGCTCCGTAAGCATGACGAATTGCTTTTTTATGTGTCTTTTTTTTTTCTAAAGAGCATCCCAATTAAAGCGTCTCTGATCTCAATTATACAAGCTCCGAGTTACCACAATGTGTGCACCATAAGAAGTGAGGAAGCTGCGGTAACTCTGTTATATAGAGTTTAAACTAATTCTGCCATCTACTTGGATATCAGATTTCTAAGCTTTTGTTCACAAAAATAGTTTCATTTTTTGTTATATCAATTTCCCAAAACAATGGCAATAGCTAAATATAACTTCTCAAAGTAACACATATATAGGGAAGAAACTATCCAAATACAATTATGAAGCTTCTAACTTAATTTGACACAAATAAATCAATATCAAAGTTTCTGAAAAATTTAATTGATCAATAATTATCTAAATGATTTATTTAAAATATGTTACAATAAAAAATATGTACTGAAAATTTTATATAATATAGTTAATCAGCCAAACTTAAGAAAGCCAAATCTTAAGTAAAATTTACTTATTTAACAATATCTGCTGAACATTGTTGTCATACAAAATCAACGATTAACTTTGTGTGACTTAGGAAAAAAATTAAATTTCCAAATAATATTTTATTAGTCTAATATTATATGATGTTAATAACAGATACAACCAAGTCGATTTTTTTTACAAAAGTCTTAATTCTTGAATATATCATACACCATTTAGTACTCCGATTTGATAGTAAGATATATCGAATTATCTCATTATTTTTCAGAAAAAAATGTCATAGCAAGAAAAAAAATACTAAACAGATTTACAACTCTAATATAGTAAAATAATTTCAGAAGAAACTAACATCGTAAAAAAAATTCAATGTACTTTCTTAAACTTCAGTAATCTATATTATTAATTAATTTAAAATACATAAATAAAATAAAAATTCCAAATACCGTATGCATAAACAACCATATATTAAAAACGATAAACCCAAATAAAGATACAAATGTTTATATACAAAAATATAGACATTCCGCGCGTAGCGCGGGCCAGCCCTAGTTTTATATATATATACAACCAATCACTTGTCATATCGATTTGCATAGACTAGATATGTAGACTATGAATTTTATTTTCCGTAAACAAATATCAGAATAAACTACACAATATGGTAAATATTCGTGAAATCAAAATAGCTTCCCATTACGAAATCTTATGATTAATATATTTATCTAGATATTAACTAACAAGATATATTTATCTAGATAATTAATAGAAATACTTATTAATTAAACCAACAACTAAACCACATTAAACCGAGATACAATTTATACTAACAAATTTTTCTGTTACAATATATTTTCTTTGACAAACGTGTAAATCAAGTTTGATATCTTTTAGTTTAGATATTTTTTTCTAAAACCCTTAACACTCGAGCTTGGATTAAAGTCAAGGTCCATATGTTACTGAATTAAAATATATGGACCAAATTTTAATTCATAGCCAAATGGCCATATTCAATAACTTATATTGTTAGCTAACTTAAAATGAATAAATAACTGTAACACACAAAAAATAAAACACAAATTCAAAACTGAATAACGTATAGATCTTAGACATGTACTTAAACAATTAGGTTGATTAATACTAAAAATCAAGAGCATATCTATCTTATTAAAGTAAATATATTTTTGAAACATTTTTTTTTATTTTATCTATACTATTAAAAGAGAAGCAGTATTGAAAACTTTATTTATACAAAGTTGTTTGGATCATTTCCTTAGGAACTAATAATTTAATGGTTCTATTTAAATTTCGCCTAAAAATATATTACCATAAATTTCTCTAACAGTATAGTGCTTTAATAACAAAAATATATAATCTATTAAATTAGATAATTTTCCCAATTGATAGATTTTGAAGTATAACATATATGATAGGATTCGAGTCTTATCTAGTATATGGGCTTTACATAATTAAGTTTGAAATTACTAGAACTGATCCTAATTCATCACTCATATATAAATAAGAAAAAGACAAAATAAATATGCTAACCTTATTACTAAAAGTCAAATAACCTATTCGAATTTATGTACTATATAAAGTATACAAGAAGTATTTAATTTAAAAGAAAATATCAGATTTTTTCTGGATTTTTTTCTGGACCAACCGGTGTTGGTTCACGTGTTAATGACGGGTTTTGAGTTTATAAAGTTTGTAATTATTAAGTTTTCATTAATCTTAATTTTATGAAAATATATCAGTTGGTAAAACCTCTAATTGTATGCTATAAAAAAAAAGTAAGCCAAATTTACTAGATTGCGGGTCCGGAGCAGATATGAAAATTATGTTTATACAATTTGTAGGTATATAATTTATACTGGTAGACTTAGACTATGTATATCTATTAATTTAATTCATTGCATCTATGACCTATCAAGAAATCTAATTCCACCAATCATAAATCTAATTTTATTAATTGGTCTAAACCTATTGTATGTTTATAAACAGAATAAATAAATTATTTACATTAAAATTAAAATAGTATTGATCATTAGAAAACCTATAAAGTAAAATGAATAACATAAATACAATGGATTTACTTTATACAATAAATCAAATATATGAGAAGTTAAATAATTTTTTTAATATTGTAATATTTTCTGAGTTTTTGTCGGATTAACCAATGTCGGTTTCATGGGTTAATGATGGAATTCTAGGTTTTATTGATTTTTTAAAAAAAAAACAGATCAAACGTTTAATAAAACACAGTGGTTTGTTATTTATTTATTTTTATTTTTTAAAAAGCAGAGCATACGTTGTTTTAAAAACAGCATCATAGGTTTTTTTGTTCTTATAAAAAAAAAACATCATCTTTCACAAACACACTAGTTTCCACTGATAATAAATCAAGTGAAATCGACTATGACTCATTGTTTTCATTGCTTTACAACATCAAAAGAGCCAATAGATACATCAATTCCATTGTACGTGTTCCTCCAAAATCTTGGTCTACATAACCTAAACCAATATATTACAAAATATCAATATTTAAGTTATACTATATATCATTATTATTAGAAATTATATAATTCAAAGTCAATAAAAATTAAATCAAACGGTATTATCAATATAAATACTTTAATTATTCGACATCAAATTAAACAATTGAATATTTTCCTAAATAAATGACTTTCCTAAAGCTTTATCTATATTTAACCAATCATCATAACAAAATCTATATTCAAGCAATCACCAAAAGCTTCTTATTTTCTTTCTAATCTTGCAAATCACAGAAAATATCTAATTAATTAGTGATATTTATGTCTTATCCAAACTCAAACAAAACAATTTTGGAATAATATTGAATAGAATATTCCATTTTTAATGCTGAAGAATCACAATGACCAAATTTTACCTTATCTTTCCAAAAATTTAAGGCCCACTAATTTTAAATCTAAACCAAAATGCCCAAAACCAAATTACCCAATTCAATATTTAAAATGGACTTTGTTAGTAAAATTCTAGAGATTATTTTTTTTGTGAATTTTTTTTATTGTTGCTGTCTATTTTTTTTTTAGCAATTCTCTCAAATAACCCTCTTTTAAGTTTTTATCACAAAATAGACCTCGAAACTTAAAATGACAAAAATAGCACTTATTATTTTGAAAATTTAAATTTTTTCTATTTTTTAAAAAATTTGAAACCCTATCCCCAAAACCTCACTCTTCAACTTTAAACAAAAAAAAGTCGAGGTTTAGTTAACACAAAGGGTATAAATGTATATTTAATAAAACATTTAAGTGTTATTTTGGTCATTTTAATTGTTAAGGTCTATATTATAGACTTGTGACAAAAACTTTTTTAGGTCTATCCTAGTCATTTTCTTATTTTAAATAATAATTTTAATCACAAATTTATAGTATAATTTAATAAAATATATAAATCTAAACATGATACTCTAATATTTTACACGTAATTGTTTAGTTTAACAAGTAAAAAGGTACAATATCAAAAAAAGCACAAACCGATAGTTAGAAAAACATCAACATTATAACTCAATAACCTATGACATAAATATGAAATTTTACTACCACTAACACAAACATATAATTATCCAGATTATACAATCGCGCGGACACGCGGATCA